GGTATCGGAGTGGCCGGGATGCGAGTTATCGCGTTCAGAGCACGATAATCGATCACCGCTCTCATCTCCGGTTTACCGTCTGAGTCTAACGTCTTTTTCGGGATCAGCATGATCGGAGAGGCCCAAGGCGATTGACTGGGCCTAACCGTGCCTTGCTCCAGATACCTGCGGTACAGAGTGGTCAACTCCTCTCGCTGGTGTATCGGAATGGGGCGGGCCTGCTGCTTAATTGCTCATGAGTCATCTCGCAAAAAAAAAGGTACGCAAATTATTGCCTAGTGTAGTTTTTGAAACCGATCACATGCACCTACATTAGCCTGGCCCAAAAAAAAATCGGAAAACTCGTCGGTGGTTTTTCTGAATGTATTTTCGATGCCGAGCACGATGGTCTTTGTCCGAACCCTCTCCGATGTCGGGAACCGGCCGCTGCAGCAGCGCGCGGCGCAGGTGAGTCATATTTACATCATATGTTCCCTAAAGGTTACTCTTTCGAACGCCACCTGTCCGATCGCGATGCGACACGTCATTCGTCCCAGCGAGCGTGTTAAAGTCGACCGGGGGAGTTAGGCCCTATGAAAAAACTCGCGCACATTTTCGATGTTTTCACAACGCAGAATCCTTGCCGAGGCTCCCACACATCGGCCCCTATCCCGAGTTTCACTATTGGTCAACTCCAACCGATCGAAAAACGTGCACTTTTGGCCGAGCGCCAGATATTCAATGTTTGAGACGCGCGCGCCGCCGGGCTCGGGAGCGTAGTGGGGGATGCTTCTCCGCCGCTGACGCTCCCGAGCCAGCAGTAGGCGCGCTCTTGGACGTTTTCAGAGGGCTGCAGCTCCGTAACCTTGGTGGAACAAAATCCGGCGACCACGCTGGACGGTAGCTAGGCCGTCTGGGAACACCTCGGGAAATTATGGAATTTTATTCCAGCAAGGATAAAAATGTCCCGCCCTCCAAAGTCGGCCCAGGGCGTAAGTGGCCAAAACTTTTCGCGCTCTGGGCCGTTTTCAGAGGGC